AGGCGGATGGGCGTGAAGGATGGCGAACAGCGAGAGGGTTTCCTGACTGCTGTAGAAAAGCATTTTGAGAAGATAGCTGAAGTAGGGGGTCTCGTCAAGTCGAACTGCTGACTTGCTGGTTGAGTACCTCTCATTGGTAGGCGGAGCGAGCGGCTGAGGAGGAACGGCTCAGGGAGGCTGAGCGAAGGGCTCGACCAGCGAGCAAGGTCACTGCCGTGTTGGCTTTCGTAGGAGTCTTCGCAGCGATATACATATGCCTAAGGTGGGTGCTCCCTGTGGTCGTGTTCCATCATGTGTTACATGTAGAATCATAATTTACAATAGGACCACTGGTGGTCTCTATCGCCTCACCTACCCGGACGCTGGTCTTGGTGACCTTTAGCTTTGTCGTCTACTATTGAGCACCTGTTTCAAATATGGCTATTTGCGTTGTCGTAGTCGATGAGGAATGTTCGTGGTGGTAGCAGCTGTTGGTAGATGTCCCGTAAGAGATCCTTCAACTCTAGTGTGGCTCAACCAACATCAACCAAAGACCAAATGCCTCGATATGCTAACGTGAGTTACTCTCATATGTAGTCCGTGCTTGCTGGTTATTCTCAGCTCGGGTAGGTTCTATGCTGTGTCTGTGGTGCGTCCATGGCACCCAACCAGTCCAATATGTGTGTCAACTGCATGAAGGGGGAGGTGGACATCACTGAGGGTATCTCTAAGCAGGCCGTGGTGAACTATTGTCGGGAATGCAATCGGTGAGGAATTCGCGAGGACTTGGCCTGTGTGTGACAATATGAAGTGGATGATCCTTTTGGTAGGTATCAGCGCCCTCCGTGGGTGCCATGTGAACCGGAGTCTCGAGAGCTGCTAGGGATATGCCTCAAGAAAATCAAGGGGCTCAACAAGGTCAAGCTGGTTGACGCCAACTTTGTGAGAAGGACCAAACCGCTTGTCTGAGGTGTTATATGCGTTTCCTGCTGTTCAGATTTGGCAAGCTCCCACGAGTAAGCGTATGAAGGTGAAGTTGACCGTTCAGAAGGAGGTCATGAACGGCGCCATCATGCAGCAATCTATGATTGTTGACTTCATCGTAAGCCCTACAGATCTTGTCCGGGTCTTGCAAGGATTCCTATCTAGGTCGCCTGGCAGCAGTGTGATGACTGTAAACGAACCTACACTCCGCACACTTGGAACGCTTCGGTATAAGGGGGCTCGATTTGGTTATCATCAATACATGTATATGATTATATTTGAATGCTCCTGACTCAATCGAATAACACACATGTTGAAGGGTGTTTAGGTTTTTATTAGTACATGGAAGGAATCCCTGTATGGTTTATTACCCTGTTGGTGTTGTAGGTCCAGGTCCGACAGAAGACAGATCACAAGAGGACTTTCTATTACCTAGAGCAGCTCATCTTGAAGCATGATGCTCATGAGAAGGTTGTTGGTATCAAGAGGACCCCCGATGGCCTCGACTTCCATTTTGGTCATCGGAGCCATGCCCAGAAGTTCTCAGAGTTCGTCCTGAGTCAAGTAAGAAGGGCCTCAATAACAGCAGTTCACTGTGGTGGTCTCAGGTCCCTTCTAGAGTGAAGCAGAGTAAGCACCTTATTAGTCATGATTCCCACAATACAACGTAGGTCAATGTCAAGGCTCTGGAGTGCTCGCTAGTGTGAGACTAGATACAACTACAAGTACACTACTCTTATCGACATGTGCCCAGTGTGCAAGGATGATGTTGTTTTTCTACCCAAGGCCCTCAAGAACAAGCTTGGCGGTGTGAACCCGATCCAGGTCGTCACTAAGGTGAGAGTGATTCATTGACGACGTATTACCACGTCGCGTTCCCTCTTGTAGGTCTCAAGCCAGATTCGCCTGGTGGATCCTCTCACAGGGAGGGTCTCTGACCTAGCGGGCATTGAGTAAACTGTAGAAGCTCCTGTATTCTTCCACGCCACCCTGTCGTTACATCAGGTATTGGAAGAACCCTTTCGAGCCTCTCCTGACTCGCCGACACTTGGTTGAGTTCACTGTCCTCAACGTCGAGGAGGACACTAGTCGAGCGCGAGCTGCCACCACCTTCAACAGACGAGGCCAGAAGGCCTATACTATGGTGGACCTGGAGCTTATGCGTAGGAGGCGAGTTACACCGTGTCATAGATGCTCATGTGGCTGTGGTCAGGTACCGAGAACAGCGGAGAGGCAGCAGCGGGGGATCCGGAGATCATCACGGTGCGGTCCCACCTAGGTGGCGTGCTCCAACCTGGCGACCTCTGTGCAGGGTAGCGTTGAATGCTCATTTTGGAATCATCGTTCTCGCCTCTTCTGACACTCATAGCTAGTGGTCATCGAGAGCTCTTGATGTTATACTCACTGACAGCATCTAGTGGGGGCAAGCGCGACTAGCCCAATCGCGGTAACGGATTGGGGTGTGGAAAGGCGTAGTTAGATATCATGCATGTTGTAGGGGGAATACTGGAGGCGTTCATAGATAGAACTTGTCTGTTTGTCCATCCAACGTAATTACCTCTAGGTACGATCTCCGTACTGTGAACGTATCCGGTATTGATGAGGAGATGCTCGAGAAGACCAATCTGGATGTGATTATTGTCAAAAAGACATACACCCGGCATCGACAGCGCAAGCGTCCATGGATGCTCAGAAGGCTTGAAAGGGAGGATGCTGGTAGGTCCCATTATCATGTACAGGATGGTGCCAGGTCTGGCACGCTGGCTCTAGCTCAATGAGATGCCCTATCGTGAGCTACCTCTTCCTACTGTGGTTCTGATCTGTAGGTGGGGAATCCAACGATGGTGACTATGAGCAGTTCATGCGGGATATTGAAGAGGATAAGGATCTTCGTCAGGAGGTCATCTTGTGTTGTGTGCGCTGTCTCCCTACATATGTTGCCTTTCAGATCAATCTCTTCCGTGACCCAACATGGAAAGAGCCTACTGCTGAGCAGATGCCAGCAGCAGCAGCCGAGGAGGAGGAGGAAGCCGACGTACGCTGTTCCTTGCACTCATCGTGTTCGTTCTCGGCCTTATACCACTCCTTCAGGAAAACGAAGCCCCCGAAGTGGACCTGGCGGAACTACTTGATGGTCTCACACTCAACGATACAGGTGAGAGATGCCACTTTGCGGGTTTTCTTCCTCACATGACTTGCAGGTGCGACTGTGGCTAATGTGCAGCAAGAAGATGATGACGAGCTCTAGGAGCGGCTTGGTGTGTTTGTTGATATTTACGTCCATATCTGTCACTGTATTCACCAGAGAATAAGGACCTGTTTCTCCTTGTGTCATCTGTGTCCTTGGGTACCGTGAGTTCCTTTCTTGTGCACAATCAGTTTTTTGTGCTGCACTCAGCAAGGCAGCGTTTTGAACCTAATTATGGCAAACCGCCAAGTCCCGCCAGAAAGCTCGGTGTAACGTCACGTGGTGGGGGAGCAGCGCTACGCTCTGGTGAGGGAGGTGGAGGTCATTGTTTTCTCCTTTTTTGAGCCTCCCAGTGAGTTATTATTATGTCACTGTGTTTGACACAGAGGAGAATAACGACGACCCGTCGAGTTTAAGTGAGCCTCTATGGGTGAGGCGAGCGATAATGGTAGGTCTTATTATATCACGCTCGGCTTAGGGTCTCGCTATAGGTACATCTAGATCTCAATTTGGCTGTTGATTTTGCATATACACGTCCTGTTGGTCGCATCGACATCACTTGTATGCCGAGTACTGCCTTCCCCTGCGAGTTACTGTTGGACACTGAAGACTTACGACAAGTCAGACCCTTCAGCTGCTCCTCCCTGATGTGATATCGCTGTTTATTTTGACTGAAGATTTCTTATACGTTGCTCACGCTGGCATCCTTATCTTGTGTGACATAACTTGCGTTGCGGGGAAGTAGTGTCACCGACGGAAGAATCAGGAGCAGCCCGAATCCTTGAGAGTCATGGTAACTGATCTTCCTTTTTGTACATCCGCGACAATCGCCTTTGCCGTTGAAAGCTCACACTAAGAGGTACCTACATGATCGCATGACCTTTTCTGTTGATAGCCTTCCACTTTATTAAGCTTGGCGCTCTATGCAGTAGGAAAGCAACTCAAGCAAACGTGGTTCGTAGACTGAACAGTGCAAACGCCCTAAAGGCATATGAAGGCTCACCCTCGATGGTACGCTGAGTTATTAGAAGATAATCTGAGCATGCCGGTGTAGTGGAGTTACACTCCAAGACGCCGCCGACCCCTCTTCGCCCACTGATAAGACTCAAAGCGTGGTTCAGAGAAAAATGTTCTTCAATAACACATGCATTTATTCCGATCATTATCCGTCGGCTCTGAGGACCTTAGCTGCATTTGTATGGTCCACATCGTCATTCTGCCGCCGCTTCCGGTTGGCAAATGGGTTACCCTAGGATTCAATGGCTACCCTAGGGCTCGATGTTACACTCACTCTTATCGGCGAGTTCTTCGATGCCTCCTGCTCCTTAGTTTCGGCCAGCATCTCAGCTCCAGTCGACCTCCGAGATGGTATATTCTCGACTGGCTGGAAGGCGGATCGAGGTGGCGCTGTACTCGGAGGAGGAATTGCACGATTCTGCCTCTCAGGCGTAGGCTTGGCCATCACAGGCTGTGCAACGTTGCCAGTAGGCATGCTAGGAATGACTACTGATGCCATGTCCTCCTCGATACGGGCCGCCAACAGTGGCTGCCCAAGCTTCAAAGCCATCTAAACATAGGATACGATCCAAAGGTAAGAACTTGAGCGAGGCTTGAACCCCCCTCATCCCATATTGACCGACCTTAGCCATGAACCTTGGAGTAGCTGGTATTTGGAGGGCTAGGAGAGAGGTATCATATGCAGCCTCCAGCTGTTTAGACTGGACCAAGTCCCGGAATTTCATTACTAATTTCTTATCCAAAGCGACCTGACCATACCTCATCACAATGATAGCATCGGTGAGCCTACCGTAGCTTTCTTTATCCCGCTAGGTTCATCCCCTGAGTTGATCCCTCGATCCTGACAGAACCTGTGCGACTGATAGCAGCCCGCAAACGACGAGGCGCTGAGACCATACTGCTTCCAGGTGGCCAACGTTCGCTCTGCAAACGCACTTTCAGCCTCTGGCCGATCGCCCAGTTTGGTTTTCTGCAACAAGCAGGTTCTCCATCACTCAACTTAGCTAACCATGTTACATCTGAGTTCTTCGAGGAGCTGAGTCGGATCCTCCAGGTTACCGATGGCAGCACTCTGGGCAGGGAGAACCCTCTGGGCTCATAAGCATCCTCATACCGAGTACGGCAGATATGGAGGTTAATTCCTGATCTTAGGACATCGACGAGGCCTCAAGCAGGAAGCTCTGGTACCCACCGGCACCACCGACGGCCCAGAAACCCTCATTCTCGCGTTGTAGCTCAGCCACACAGTCGTACACGGGCGTCCATCTGATGCAGTTGATACCAACTGTGACGGTATCGTATTGCAATCTTACTTGAGATCGGTAGACGACCAAAAAGCGAAGACCCCTGTTGGCAGTAGGGCACGTATGATACCCACGGAGTCCATTGAAAGGGGCATGGATTCGGTAGTCATCCTGCAGGAAAGGATACCCTTCCCGTCGACTGTTTTAGTACCAACCCTATCCAAGTGAGAGTTGGCCCCTGACCAGCGTCGTGATGGCCACCAGACACTGGCAATGGACCCTCCGACAGAACGCCAACTCGACTGCCACCACAAGCGGTTTGTGCCAGAGTGTATCTAGCATTACCATCTGCTGAGGAAGGACCTCCGACTACTCACCTAATCTTGGTAGCATCTCCACCATAATCAGCTACCGCCCACAGCATGAGGCCACTCGCTGCCGAGGCGACCATGCTGACAGGTCGACTAGAGGAGCATCCAATGGAGATGACGTTAGTCGGAAGACCGGCATTCAGCGACCTACAGCATCACACGATAGAGTCCTG